CAGGTCAGATCTGACAGTGGGAGGCACTGTTCCAGAACTAGGCTCCCTAGCAGCAATCAGAATGATAGAATCCTGGAGAAGCAGAGGCCAGTGGCAGCACTTAAAGATCAGAGACAAGGGCAGTAAAGTCAGAATGGCAGTTGAGGGACCTGACTCGCAGGAACTGACGTACATGCGGATGAACCTACGAAAGCGGACACAAAGTGTAAGACCTTTAGGTTGCACATGAACACACATCAGACAGCCTCCACTTGGAAGAGGCATTAAACAGCCAGTGGGCAGGTGGACTTGGCTGGTTGATGTTAACCACTTGTCTGAGAAACAAGGAGTGGAAGCAGGAGTGGCCTCACTCACCATCATTCCCAGTAACCCATTTGAGGAACATGTCATCTTTTCCACTTAGGCTCTGTCAGTCTAGAAGTCCTGATTCCCAAGGAAGAATTCTTCTACTTGGGAATACAATGGAAATCCTATTAAAATACAGCTATAACTGCTGCTCAGTAATTTTTGGGTCTTCATATCAAGACCAAAAGGCAAGGCCAGGGGTCACCATAGTGGAAAGATCAATTGGTCCTGATCCTCAGGACAGGTTAGTACATTTGCTTCATCATGGGAGCAGGAAGACATATGTTTGGCATGCAGGTGATCCACTGGAACATCTCCTCATAATGCCTTGTCTAATTTAACTCAAATACAGGAACCATAACAGGGTAAGGTATGTTAACCAGGGGATGAAGGTCTGGATCAGTCCAGGCAACCCAACAGATGTGAGGGGGATTGAGAGTAGGGGGAGAGGAGGGACCCGCTGGAGCGGTGGAAGCTAGAGTGCATCCCATCAACTCTTCTCCTGAAGGTTCCTCAAGAATTATGACCCCAGAATCTTGGAGAATCTGTACCTGGATGGAATAAACTTAACGTGAGAGCAAGTAGATTTGAGTGGTGCAATGAGTGGACTGCTATAGACACTATAATGCACTCCCCAGATCCTTTTTCTCAGGCCAGCACATTTCTGGAGCTGTTCACAGCTTGTAACTGCTCGCCTCTTAGGAGAACTGACCACTGCTAAGTGGCCTCCATTATAAGCCTCCATCCCTGCTGGAGCAGCCCATGGTCAATGACTGACTGATGCAGAGACATGGAAGGCTGGCCCCTTTGCTCAAAGGAATAACTCAGTGCTGCTTATACCCCCAAACCTCCCCGCTGTGACGTGGCCCCTGTGCATTACCTGAGATCACATCCTTGCTTGATTTTCTCCTTTCCTATCCTGGTTTACTCCCTCCCTTCCAATTTTTTCAGGAAGAGCTCCCCTTCAATAAATCACATCCTAGGCTTATCCAAATCCCTATCTTAGCCACTACCTTTAGGGAACCCTACCTAAGAGAGAGGTGGAGCAAAATAAATCAGGGAAGGACAGGCAGTAGGTGAGAGGAGGAGGAAAGGTGAGATTTATCTCTAAATAGCCTGGTCAGAAAAGTCCTCCCTGGGAAGGTCACCTTTGAGAAGGGACTTGAAGAAAGTGAAGGAATGAGCCATCAGGCGATTTGGGAGAAAAGCTTTCAGGGCACAAGAGCTGGCATAGGAGTGGATCTGGAAAGTTCCAGTAAGAGTGCAGAGTGTGGCTGGAACAGGAAGAGGCAGGAAAAGAACGTCAGAAAAGAAGTCAGAGAGACCTTCCAAGGTCCTACAGATTGTGTAGGGCCTTGAAGGCCATTGAAAGGACACTGGCTTTAACTCTGAGTGAAATGGGAAACCATGGGGAGGTTCTGAGCAGGGGAGAGACGTGATCTGACTTTGTTTTAATAGAATCACCTGGCTGCAAGGGCGGGAGCCAAGTTGCCTGAGGTTGTGCAAGCAGAAAGCAAATGATGTGGCAATTGGAACCAGGCTTAGAGCCGGCTCTTACACACCTGCCTTTGTTGAGGGAGCAGACAGAGCACATCTGGTACGTACATTCAATAAACCACTGCTGAATGCTGAGGATGGACGCAACAGAGGGATTGACTCCACCTCTTTAAAGGGAAGATACAAATACCCATAAGGAGATCAGACTCCTGCTCAGTTTCTCCTGGGGAAGTCTTCAATACTACAACTGTTTAGGAGAAAAGACCATACTTGCCATCAGGTCCAGAGGCTGCTGGTTACACTGCAGCCCAAGTAACTCTCTACACTTACGTGAGTCGGTAAATTTCAAGAGGAAAACATTTAGAGAGGTAGCACAGTGTAATGACTAAGAATGGTGGGCATAGAACATCTGGTCTGAAACCCAGCTCTGCCTCTTATAGCTATGTGACCTTGGGCAACTTACTTAACCTCTCTGTGCCTCAGCTTCCTCATCTGTAAAATTGTGATTATAATAGTCTCCACCCCACAGGGTTGTTTATAGAATTAAATGAGTTTACAGTGCCTGGAACATACTGTTTGCCATTATTATTTTATTATACATAAGCAATTAGAGGACACTCATTGTCATTTAAGTTGAATAAATCTGGACATTAATTTCCAAATTTAATGCTTTCTATGTCATCTGTTCCAATGTTGGACTATAAGTGAATGCATCTTTCTTCCTACACTTCTAAAATACTATTGCACCTTTAGCTGATTAAATTGTTCAGGTTTTTTTTTTTTTTTTTATCAGTGACTGTTCTCTAGGAAGGCTCATAATGCCTGACTGAAATCAGCCCCACGTGTGAATTTAAAATGCTTCCCTGTGCATTTGTCACTCCCCTGACCATGAGGAACACTCCATAAATAAAATACACTTCAAGAATTCCATTTAGATGATGGCCTTTGTTTCCAAACGTTATTAGATACCTATGATTTACACTGCTTGTTAGAACGTCGAGGTTTCTAACTTCCCAGCGTTCTTGTCCCTTACAAAACAGAAAATAGGTCTTTGTGATTTTACTATATTTTTTTACACTGGATTCTGTCAACTGGTTTTATGTGAAAAACAAACAAGGGGAGGGAATGTCCATTATATGTCTGGCTTTTAGCAAAGCATTTTATAGATAATTATCTTACAGACTTGAGGATCACACCAAGTGTGTGGTAGAGCTGGTCTCACTGGAGGAGCCCTAATTCTGCAGCTCTGCTCAAAGACCACGAGAGCTGAGGATCATCTTGGAACACTGGTCGATTAATGCCTTTTTTCCTTCCTTTGCCAATAATTTCTCTCTAGGGATCACTGAAAGAAGGGGTTTGAATTTGGCTTTATTTTTTCTAAAGCCATTCTACAATTATGATGACAATGATAACATCTAGCATGTATTTATGGCATTCTCTATCTCCAGCACTGTGCTGGCTGTTTTTCTATTGTTCCGTGATGCAATTCTGAGGAAACTGTTCAGATTCCTAAACACATAGCTCAATTTTGGGTTGAGGCCACACAACTTGGAAATTATTAATTTTATTGTAGCCCTAAGCAAACCAATCTGACAAATAAAAGGGTCCTCAAGTGGATCATCCAATCACACACAGCAGAAAGAACTCCTAGGATAAGACTCCTATTGAAAAAAATCAAATTTCAAAAAAGCAGTTAAACTTAAAGTTGGAAAAGAAAATTCCTAAGTACGCTTTTGTCAAGTATTTTAAAACGAAGGCACAGAGTTAAGTGATTATAATGGTGACTATAGTCCGAAGTCATGGTTTTTATTTCTGACTTTGTCAGATTCCTTTGTCATCGTTTGCATATGCCAATTAAACCATTGTGCCTTCCTTTTGCATTTTTAATCAAATGACACCACCATAATAAGATGTTACCTGGGGAGTGCTCACGAGAAGGATAAAACACTCTTAAAAGAAAAGGTTATTATAATCATTTCCTGTTTGGCTGGTTTATCCTACTGTCACTGAGCTAGGTTTTCATCTATACATGATAACTCAGTGTAGGTCTGTTTGAAACCTTTTTGTTTTTGATTACTACATTAATAAGGTGCCAAACCCAGTTCTCTTATTTTGAAAGCTCATCAAGAGTGACACAATGGAAATTTTAACACTAACAGGAGCCCCCGTGTTATAAAGCACAAGAAAGAAATAGAATGACTCTCCGTGTGCCTAGAAATAGTCCTTTAACAGCTAAAGCTCTTAAATTTAAAAGATAATATAGAAAAGTTAAAAGAAGATGCCAGGTGGTATTTTCATTCATCAGGATTAGAAATAATCATTCAAACACACAAAAATATTATCAAGGGTATTTTTCACATTTATGTACATCAGAGAGATTAAAGGACTCATTTTACCTTGCACATAAGGACCGCTCATTAACTCACCTATATAATATGCCTATAAAAAATCACAGATTAAAATGTCACATTAATTCATTCACTTAGGCAAATTCTCCTTCCAATAATAATATATTTTACTTTTAAAAAAAAGATCTTTTGGTTTGGACAAAAACGTTCAATTCAAAGATAGTATGTACCATTTTCCCACTGTAACCATGTAAGATTTTCTGCTTAAAGAATACTAATTTTTTCAGTTACCTTCTTCAAACTGTTGTGTAACTATCCTTCTCTTTGAAAACTACACAATAAGGAACCACTTTATATAGTTTATATAACAAGGTAAACAATTTACAACTGTCTCATTTTTATCTATAGTGAAAAATTCTTAAAAATTATTTTAGCTCAAAGCATTACCATATAAAGTGGTTCCTGATTTTGTCACTACTATTGAATTAACATGAAATATTATCTCCTTAAATCTCTTCTAATTCAATGCCAAACACACAATATGCAATACCACCATCTCCAGTAAGCGCTAATCCTGCTGTATAAGCAGAATGCTTGTCTTGGTATTTTCCTAATTCAACCTTATACTTCTGATGCATCTTTTTTTCCCTCCAGGCACAGTCTGTTGGAGCTGGAAGGGGCTCCAGAAACCATCTAATCTGACCTACCTGCTCCTTTTTAAAATGTGGCTTTAAAAACAGCAAAGTCTCTCAAACATTGGCAACGTGAAGCTACTCAGAAATAAACCTAAAGTTTGCATTCAAACTTTACCTTCGCAAAATTCCCAACGAATCTCCCACAGCGTTCTTCACTCCTTCCTTTCCAGGTTTCAAAAATTTTTCTTTGAAAGTATCAAATGCTTTAAAAGGCATTTTGAATGGGGGCCACCTCCGAGCCATTAACAATCAGTCTTAGAAACTGTCATCCTTTCTCATTTCCAGCGTGGGGACCACTCTGTTTTCCTTGATGAACACCTTAAAGTCAGTCCTCATGGAGATAACTACTTAAAATCAAAAAGGAGATGAAACCCAGCCCAGATCTTCCAAGATGAGACCACTCCCCTCTCCCGGCCAAAAAAGAGGCCAAGAGGTATCTGGCTGGGAATTCAGCCCCTTGAAAAGCTACAAGCTCAGCAGCAGCCTGTGGTGCTGTCTCAGGCAGTCACTCTCAGTCTGAGCGCAGCCTCGCTCCCTCCCTGGGGCTGCAGCTGGAGAAGCTGAAGTGGGCTCCAGCCCACGAGGTGTCCGGAGACCAGCGACAGCATCTGCGGCCTATCTCCAGCCCCTCCTGCCGCTTCTGACCACATCCCCCTCCTGCCTCATTCTGCTCCGCTATGGCTTTCACTGAGTGATCTTTTCCAAGGTGATGGTGCTATAGTAACCGGCACAATACCTGCCCCTCAGCTGCTGGGGCTTATTAATGGGCTCTCAGCCAGAGCAGGCTCCCACAGTAAACTGTATGAAACATTTACAAGTCTTCTGCTTTTCTGAGGTCTGGCACTGCAGACAGGCTCTCAGCCACCACATTATGCCTCCTATGCCCCTCGTGGGAGCCATGAAACAATTTTTTTCAGCCAGACACTAGCATGGGTGTGGTCCTTGGAAGAACACTTGCACTAGAGAAAGCTAAATGCAAAACCCAGACCACAAACTTCTAGGAGGGCATTTATTTGCTCCTCATCAACAGAGCAGGATCTCTCAAGGTGTGGTGCGTGGGTGCCACTGGGACCATCTAACTGAAGACACCTGAGGTGGTCCTAGAACCTGCTTAGAACTCTTCACTGGTCCTCACTGTCCTCAGGATAAATCCAAGTTCTTTATCACGGCACACAAGGCCCTCCACGGGACCCCAGCCTTGTTTCTTGTCACTCTGCTCTTCATATCAGCACTTTACTCAACTCAGCAAGCTCCCTAGCATCTATGGGCTTTACTCAAGCTATACTCTCTGCCTGGGTAACTCTCCTCATCCTCCCTTTGGGTAACTTCAGGGGATTCTTAAGTCTCACTGAGACATCTCTTCCTCTAGAAACCCTCATAGACAAGGTTAGGTGTCCCTCCTCCCAATCACTGGTCCTCTGTCCCAGTAGGACCTGGAACGTAGTGCTGTAACATAAATCGTTGTTGGAGTGGGATTGAAATATCACATGCTGTTCCCACATTTATGGGCAGTAGGATGACACCTCCATAAATGATGCTGCCATGAAGAAACCTCCTTCATCTGCAAGGCTCCAGTGCTCCAGTCCCCCAGGCTGCACAACCAAATCCTGTGCTTTAGGCTCTCGGGTTCCCCAGGAGTCATTTCCACAGGACCAATCACTGCCCTCTGCAAGCCGTAGTCCAAACCCTTCTCCAAGATTTTAATTAAGTTGATCTAAATCAGAGGTGGATCCTTGCTTGGCTAAATACTACTGCCAATAATAACTATTATTATTATGGCTAATATTTATTGAGCTCTCTCTATGGTTCAAACTTTGTGTTAAGTACTCTTTATGTATTATCACAATCTTCTCAACACTGCTTTGTGACTAGTAACTTACTATTTTCCCCAACTTTACTGACAGGAAACTGAAGCAAAGAAAGGTTAGACTTGCCAGGTTTCAAATCCAAACAGTCTGGCTCCAGCCAGCCCTGTTTTCATTCCTTCTCTCTCTCTCTCTCCCCGCACCATGCCCGACTCCCACTACCTCCTCAGACTTTACTGAGGTATAATTTGCATATCATATAGGTCACTTATTTAAACTGGCCAATCAATGATTTTTAGTAAATTTACCAAGTTGTGCAAGAATCCCATAAATCACAAAGCAGATAGAACATTTCCATCACCCCAATAAGATTCCTTATATTCACTCTTAATCCCCATCTCCCACCTCCCACACTGCTCCAGACATCCACCAATCTACTTTCTGTCTTTATAGATTTGCCTTTTCTAGACATTTTATATAAATAGAATCATACAAAATATGGTCTTGTCTCTGGCTTCTTTCACTTAGTATAATGATTTTGAGGTTTTTCCATGTCACAGCTTGTATCAGTAGTTTGTTTCTCTTTTTTTTCTTTTCTGTGGAAGATTTCATTGTATGGACATACCATATTATGTCTTTCCATTGATCGGTTGATGGGCATTTAGGTTGTTTCCTATTCCTGGCTATTATAAATAAAACTGTCCAGAACATTTGTGTGCAAATCTTTGTGTGGACATATCTTTTCATTTCTCTTGGGTAAACACCTAGGAGTGGAATTCCTGGATCATGTGGTAAGTGTATGTTTAACTTTTTAAGAAACTTTCAAATTATTTTCCATTTCATCCCATTATTTTCCATTCCCACTAGTATGCATGAGGGCTCCCATTTCTGCACATCCTCACCAATAGTTGTTGTCTTTTTTAGGATAACCATTCTAGTGGGTATGAAATGGTATCTCATTGTGGTTTTAATTTGCATGTCCCTGATGACTTATGACGTTAACCATATTTTCATGTTCTTATTAGTCATTTGCATATCTTTTTTTGGAGAAATTTCTATTCAAATATTTTGCCCATTTTTTAAATGGTTTTTTGTGTGTGTGTGTTATTATTGAGGTGTATGAGTATATATTCTCAATATAAATCCTTTATCAGATATGTGATTTTCAAATATTTCCTTCCAGTCTGCTGCTTGTCTTTTCATTTTATCCATGCTGTATTTTGAAATGCAAAGATATTTAATTTTGATGAGGTCCAATTTACCAGTTTTTTTTTCCTTTATACACTGTGGTTTTGCTCATCTAAGAAATCTTTGCCTAACCTGAGATCTTGAAGATTTTCTCCTGCTTTTTCTTCTCAAAGTTTTATTGTTCCAGCTCTTATATTTAAGCCTATGATCCATTTTGAGTTCATTTTTATGTATGGTGTGAGGTAAATGTCTAAGTTCATCTTTTTCCATGTGGATATCCAGTTGTCCCAGCACCATTTGTCGGAAAGGCTATCCTTTCTCCAATGACTTGCCTTGGCACCTTTGTCAAAAATAAATTGAACATAAAGATTTATCTGGACTCTCAATTCTGTTCTATTGATCTTTACATCTATCTTTATGCCAGTATCACATTGTCTTGACTGTAGTTGCAAAGAAATTTTTGAAACTAGGAAATAAATGTCCTCCAACTTTGTTCTTTTATTAAGATTGTTTTGCCTATTCTAAATCTTTTGTATTTCCATCTAAATTTTAGGAACAGCTTGTTAGTTTCTGCAAAATATTCTGTCTGGTCCTGTACTCTTAAAAGGATCGTTTCTGGCCACCAATCTTACCACCCACAACTCCTCAATACTGAGAAGGCCAAGACCCCAGGAAATCACACACCTAATCACTCCACCAACAAGTCTCTACCTGTTCAAAAATCTTGCTCATTTGTCAAAAGCAAATACAATCTAAATATGATAAACACACTCTCTTGCTACAGAAAGCATCCACTGGTGGAGCTTCTAACCCATTCCTCAATGCCCAGATACTCTTATGTTACTAGTCTCTCAGAGCACATAATGGAAGCACTACTACGCAAAGACCACATAAATCTCTCTTAAGGGTCAATGACTGCCAAGAGCACCAATCATTCCTGCAGAATGTGTTGCTCATGAAACATAGCTGCATCTACAAAAGTTTTTGGCGGTGGTTCAGATGGTTGATGATAATAATCACTAACATTTATGGAGCACTTTTTGGTGTCAGACTTTAAGCACTTAACTCATTCAATCTCCACAATGACCCTCTGAGGTAGGTACAATCATTATACCATCTACAAATGAGGAAACTGAGGCACGGAGAGTTTAAGTAAATTTGCTCAAGTTCAGAGAGATTGGAAATTAAGGAGAGATGGGATATGGACCCAGGAAGTCTGGCCTCAAAGCCTCTACTCTTAACTTCTACACTAGAGCTGTTGATAACAAAGACAGGAAAATATAAGTCAGACTTTCCAGAACTGAGGCTCATTTTATTCATTTATTCATTCGTTCCTTTTCTTGAGGGCCTACTATGTGGCAGGCCTTTTTGAGGCACTTGTGATATAGGTTGAACTATGATATTCCCCTTGAAGGAATAAGCCAGAAAATGAATGAGTCCATCGCAGTGTAGTGAGTGCCACATATGGGGTTATGGGAGCACAGGCAAGGATACCTAATTTAGCTTGTGGAAGGGAGTGGGAAGGGGCTTCCTAGATGAGGGGATGGTAATGGAAGCTTTCAGGAAAGAGAAAGAGTGAGAAACAAAAGAAAAATTGTGGGAGCAAAGACTTGCATGAGAAAGCATGGCACCTGGGAGAGCTTTGCATAGTTTCAGAGAGCTGGGTGAGTTTGCCATGTGGTGGAAAACAAGGCAGAGAGGCGATCTTGAGCATTATATAATTCAGTTGTTACAGAAGAGCATTAAAACAGGTGCTCCCCCAGAAGGAGGGAAATAATGAAAATTAGAGCAGAAATAAATGAAATTGAAACCAAAAAAAACAGTAGAAAGGATCAACAAAACTAAGAGCTAGTTCTTTGAAAAGATAAACAAAATTGACAAACCTGTAGGCAGAATCACTAAGAAAAAAGAGAGAAGGCTCAAATAAATAAAATTAGAAATGAAAGAGGAGGAATTACAACAGATACCACAGAAATACAAAGGATTATAAGAGAATACTATCAAAAACTACAGGAAAACAAACGGGACAATCTAAAAGAAATGGATAAACTCTCAGACTCATACAACCTCCTAAAACTGAACCAAGAAGAAAAAGAGAATCTGAATAGACCAATTACAAGTAAAGAGATTGAAACAGTAATCAAAAATCTCCCAAAAAATAAAAGTCCAGGACCAGGTGGCTTCTCTGAAGAATTCTATGAAACATTCAAAGAGGATTTAGTACCTATCCTCCTCAAACTATTCCAAAAAGTTGAAGAAGACAGAACACTTCCTAACACATTTTATGAGGCCAACATCACCCTGACCCCAAAGCCAGATAAGGACAACACAAAGAAGGAAAACTACAGGCCAATATTGCTGATGAACTTAGATGCAAAAATCCTTAACAAAATATTTGCAAACCAAAAACAGCAATACATTAAAAAGATCATACATCATGATCAAGTGGGATTTATACCAGGGACACAGGGATGGTTCAACATCTGCAAATCAATCAGTGTAATAAACTCCATTAACAAAATTTGGAATAAAAACCACATGATCATCTCAATTGACACTGAGAAAGCATTTCACAAGATCCAACATCCATTTATGATAAAAAACTCTCAATAAAGTGGGTATAGAAGGAAAGCACCTCAACATAATAGAGGCCATATATGACAAACTCATAGCCAACATCATACTCAACAGGGAAAAACTGAAC